TTTCAAAATGATGAAACTATTGAGCTAAGTCATTGCCTTGCATAGTGTGGATCCTGAACCATTAACATCTAGAAATGGAAGTGTAAATTCTTGGGCCCTACCCCAGAATGAATGAATCAGAGCTACAAGGAATGAGGCCTAATAATCTAGATTTTAACAATCCCTTCAAGTATTTAAATGCTAAACTTGGACTTATTAAAGCTAAGAATTAGAAACTGAGGGCCAGAGCAATTTTTTATCACTCCAATTGTGAAATTATCAGTATCTACTGGCCTCACCCCCAAATTTCAACTTAGTAGGTTTTAGTCAAGGCCTAGTAATCTACCTATCTAGCAGGTTCCCCCAGAAGAGAAAAACGGCTACAGAGAGAACTCACATCTGTGCATTTAGAGTCACAAATGACTAAGAGATATACCTGAACCAAACTTTTCAGAAATAAAAGTATTGAAAGATGGCAATTTGGAAACTTTCTGCAAAGTAATTGCAAAGTCATGTTTGCTTGATGACAGCTTTTTCCCAGCCCACTCCCCAAGGCTGGATTCATTAGTAACCACAAAGTACACAGTATTTGCCTTAGGATTTATCATCCAGAACTGTGCAAATAGTTTTAGTGGATTACTTCTGTTTTTCAAAGTACCTTGGAAATCTCATCAAGGGAGATTAACCTTGAATTCAGTTTGGTGTTCTTACTTTAATAAATTTGTGGGAAAACCAACAAAACCACCTAGGACAGAGAGGAGAAATATAATTATAGGGTTGAAGACATGGCCCCTGTTACATATAGGAACAATAGCTCAAGTTGTTTTAAGCTACTCAGCACATCTCATATTTGGTTATGCGACGGACCAGTCTTGCTACGACCTCACAGTGGGGCATGAAGTATCTTGCAGAGTGAAAGATGTTGAGGCTCATGTAGCAGAAGCCTGAATTCTAGCCCTGATTCTGCTGCAAACTTGTGGAATGACTTGGACCTGTTATTCCTTCAAATTCTTGATAAGGATAGTAATGTCACCAGCCTTGAAAGTAGTTATAAGGGCAATTAGAATGAGATAAATGTAAGCTTTCTTTGAAAAAAAAAAAGCAAAATATTAGGTGGACATAGTTTCTATCAATCATCATCATCATTGTTTTATCTCTATCTGTTACTATGATATTGAGAATATGACTTGTGATTGGGATCACCTGATTTTTGCTTGGAAAAGTAAAAAAAAAAAAGGTGAAAAGTTCATTTCAATAATTTTTTTAAACTATGAAAATATTACCGTTATCTTACTGAGTTAAAAAAATATTAGGTGGGTATTAGTATTCTTGTTTAAAAGCTTTTATTAAGTGACTTGTAAAGAACCACGTGACTGTAATACACAATCGGAATATAACCAATTTTCATTTGGCCCTGTTTGAAGGGAAGGGGTGATATGAGCTGATTTCTTATAGATTATAGGTATTCATAAGCTAAGGACATTTGAACTTTCCCTAGAGGACCTATAAAGTAAAAAGGTGGATGGATTACAGTTAAGTGATAATATAATTTGTTATCCAAACTAGGCCATCTTTAGGAGTGTAGATGAAATTATTAATTATACAGGACAGCAGACATAAGCCAGGACTATGCCTGGCGATCTGGGACCAGTTATATTAACACCCCCCAGGTGGGTAATGTCAGAATCAAACCCTCAATAGTAGATTCGGAAATGCAGCCCGCCCTTCCCCACCGAGGTCTGCAGCTTGTCCTCTGTGCTTAGCCAACATGGAGAGCGAGGACTTCTGGCCTTGGGGGGCTATTGTGGGAGCCACAGGGGCAACCTCAGGCAGGAGGGGCAGAAGCAATGTTGCCTGGTTTCTCTGAAGTGAAGTTTCAAACATGGCGTCTGAGCTGTTGTCTGCTTGGAAACCACAGGACCAGCCCATCAGCCTGATGTGTCGCGGGTGGAGATGAGTGACTGTGAATAAAAGCTCCAGGCCAATGTCAAGTCTACCAAATAGAGCTGCAAACAGCTCCCGGTTCTGCAAGCAAAAACTACAGACATCAATCAAAGCACAATCTTCCAGCTCGAGCCCAGTGGGAGGGGCCTGCCACTTGTCACGCTGGGGTGGCTTTGCTACTGTTCCGCGTGTGGAGAGTAATCACAGCCAGCGGTCATCTGAGAGTTATGGGCCAGGCCAGACCTCTCGGTGAGGTGAACAGAGAGGATGACGTGCTCCCACATCTGCAGAGACATATCACCCCTCACCATTTATAGCGACTCTCAGAATCGCATAAAAATGTTCTTCTCAGGATTTAGATAAAATGCCTATCTCCCTGCCTTCTTTCCTTCTCCCCAGCAGCTGGCTATGAGAGTGGACCAGTCTTACATCCCTGCCTGGTAGCCCTTTCACTGAAGGGATTCCCCCCCAGGGATAATCAGTGATAGCCTTAATTGTATTAGGAGGGTGGTTCTTACTTAATCACATCACCTGGCTGCATTTGAAGGTGCCAAGGGTGCTGTCCCTGGGCAGGGTGCTGGACAATTCAGATAGGTGTCAGGGGCAGGAGGTGCACAGGCCTGGCCATCAAGACTGTCCTGGGCCTCTGCTGTGTGAAGTCCTATGTCAGCCAGCGGTGGGTGGGGGACAGTCGGCTTCATAATCTGTGCCTCTTCCTTGGGTCTACCACAAACTTAATGTTGCTCTTGCCTATAAAAGATTCTTTTTGCTAGTTCCTTATGGAGAGAGTTACCAAAGGATTAAAACAGCTGTTTTCATGTAAACGTACAAGCATAAACTGGACACTTTTATGCCTTTCATTTTTTTGGCTGATTTTTTTTAAGCTGTGGAGTTGCCTCTAGAGGAAATGGTGTCAGGTGTTGGCTGTGGCTTTATGTTTTATGAGAACACATCAGCATGGCCTAACACTTTCTTTCATTGACGGTAAATCCGTTTTCTGTGTTACTCATTTATTACATATAGTTGTGTGTTACCAGTTCAAGGACTGGATAATCCTGCAACTTGCAATAGTCGCTGAGATACATGCTGTCATGTGACCATATTAATATCTTTAACGAGCTAGCAGTAGACATGGAAGCCAAGATGTGTTAGTGCCATGGTTTTAATCTGGCCTTGGAACAAATTATAAATCCCGCTGCTGGTTTGCAATCGATTTTCAGCACAGCCTGTTTAAATACATAAAAAGGACTTAAAAGATGAAGTGTTATTTAACATCTCACAAGCCATCATTTTTTTTTTTAAGATTTCATTCATTTTTGTGTAGAAGAACTGGAGTGTAGACCAGAGGTGCAAAGAGCCAGAGGACTCACCAGGCACAGAGTAGGGAACAGAGCAGGTGGATCTACTGAAATACACTGTTGAGGGGAGCAGCGGGGAGACAGGAGAGGTCTGCTGGGCCACGTGGGTCAGCTCCCAGGCCAGGGTCCAGGCTGTCATGGTGATAGCATTGCAACTGAACCCCTAGGTCTCCCGATGGGCCCCTCAAAAACCACTTCTGAAGGACAGATTGCATTTTTTGATATTTTCTCTCCCATCCTGAGAAAAGAGTGGGTCAGTACCCTTCCAGTTCTAACGCATGCTGTTCTAGAAAGAGTATCTTTTTGATCATGGCCCAGTCCTGTTTGCCAAAAAATATCCAAGCATGGATAACGTTTCTGTCTTCAGAGTGGTAAGCAGAGTCCTGGCCTCACTGTCCCTGGGAATTCTCTTCACTCTGCACCCTTCTGTCGAGGGGTGGATTCTTGAGGCTTCATTTCATTTTACCTAGATGTTCTCCATCTGTAAATATTTAACAGTTGCTGGGCTGCTTGAATTTTCAATTTTGGCTTCTGCTTGAATTTTCAATTTTGGCTTCTGCTTGAATTTTCAATTTTGGCTTTAATGTCTCAGGTATCAATTAACACTTTGTTTGAAAATTTAATTTTTTTATATTACATCCTTTTACTAAAAGTTGAGGTGAGCTCCAGTAAACCAGTTCCCCCAAGACTAGGAAACACCTCGTTATTGATCTTCGGCTGTTCCACTAAAAAGATGCAATATTCAGGCCTCCTGAATACCAAATATGCTATCGCTTGCTCCCTAGGTTTACAATGTCCGAAATTGCAAAGTGTTTCCAGGACGTGGAGCCCAAGCAGGCTGGCCCTATGGAGGGACTGTCAATAGCAGCCAGCTGTGTAATGACTTACTGTGAATTTTTATAGGCTCATCTAAGGCACCAACAGATTGCTCTCTGAACACTCGAGATAAATCTCCACTTACTCTTTGAAATTGTTCAACACACAGGTTAATTTTTCCCATTGATTTTCTCTACTGTGCTCCTCGAATGCTTCAAGATCTCTTGACCTGCACACACAAAATCTCTGTGACTATCGGTTTAAGAAGAATAGCTCTTCAAAAAAAAAAAAAAAAAGCTTGAAAAATCAGTCAAGATAACGAGATAACTCTTCCCCAACTATTAGCAGGGCAGTTTAACTGGACTTTTTGATTAGGTTTTGAGGAGAACAAAATCATGAACACTTACAATAAGAAAATTCATATATTAAAGCTTCTGGACATGAAAACTGTTCTCATAGATGTCACCAGGTATCCTCATCTAGTGGCTGAAAATTTCTAGTTGAATCAGAGAAATCACCAGCACCACCTCGATTAACAGAGTGAAGTTGCACAAAGGAAGACAATGCACTGACCCAGAGTCTAGAAGAGCATTCCCCTCGCTAGGAATCAGCCCTTTTGATTTAAATTATAAGGGTCTCCCCCTGTTCTAAAATTTAGTGTTTCTATATACACAATGTTTGTTTCATATAAACACACACACACACATTTTTACTAACAAGGACACCATATTAAAAGAAAAAAAAGCAAAATAAATTTTTTTCTATTTGGAAAAAAAAAAAAGCTCAAGAAATATGTAATAAACCTGACTCTTTTTTCTTGAGACCCATCTTGATCCCACTTCCTCCCCTATCCCCACTATTACTGAAAAGTAAAAAATATTCTCTGGAAGATTACATGTTCCACTGACATATTATCCCATTACCAGAAAATGGTGTTAGAAGCACTTTATTAATGGAAGTTCCTCCTGTATGCTTCCAAATAAAACAACAACATCATTAATATTAACAATATAAAACCCCCCCAAAAAAATCCAAACCAAGCAAAACCACCCAGGGCTCATCACACAGAACTGAAGTGAACCAAGTCAGTTTCAGACATCACTTGGAGTGTAGATTTATTTGAGCTTAAGAATCTCCTAGACAAATGACATCGACCTCACTCCATTTCTTCCCTTAATAAAAATTATGACTTGACAAACATCAAACTTTTAAGATTCTAAAAATAATAGAAAAGTAAAAATAGATTTCCTAGGGAAACTCCTCTCCTAACGTTTCCATGGTTTTGCTGCTTCTGTGAAATCTTTCTCTTTGGAGTAACTGGGTAGCATAGTTTTTTGTTTTTTAAACAGGATTCATACAAGGGCACTGAATTAGAACTTCAGTTGACTGATGGAACATGAATGTTCATGGACAATAAATAACTTCTGCTCTGAAAGGAAAATAGCAAATGCAAATGAAGAGGATCTGGATAGTCCCACTTCGAGATGTGGTGGTCCGAGTTATGTGTGACTGTGCACCCTATTTCAAAATAATCAAGAGAACAGAATGGTATGAGCACTCTAAAATCATCTGCAGCACTTTAAAGGGTTAAACCTGCTTAACCCATTCTTCTTCAGAGAATGGCACCGAAGAGGACAGCCCCCCCTTTGGTGTGGCCAGTTCTTAACCTGCGGTACCCCCAGTATCAGAGCAGACATGCGCTCCTTTTCACCCCCCTCCCACCCAAATAATAGGATCCATTCATAGCTACTCACTACTGCAGGATTTGACCTGAGAAATGCTAGGATTTATTAACTCAGCAGTTGTTTCGAAAAGTCCCTAAATAATCTTTGCCCTTGGCCAGCAAGGGAACTGCTAGTCTCAAGTTCTCAGAAGCAGCTGGTGAGGTTCTCAGCCAAGTTCTTCAGATGCAGGAAGTTCTTCAGGACAACCTACTAGGACGTGGCATTTACAGATCTTTAAACCAGGCTTCCTGGATCTAGGAAATGTTATTCCTGACTCCTTTGACCCGGATGCTGGCTGAAATGCAGTTTTTGTAATCTGTAGGTAATCTCTCCTTCTTCCTTCTTTCCCTCTAGGAGCTGGCACGGTGGTTAAAATTTTCTAAAACAGTCATATTGATATGTTCAAAAATCCACTGCTGAGTCTCCGAGAGAGGGTCACATCTGGCCATGAAAATCCTCTTCTCTGCTGGGTTGCAATCCATGCAGCTGTTGCTCACAGGATGGAATAACGTTCTGTCCTAGAGGGAACAGAAAGAAAAGACTCACATAATATAGAGTGCATAGCTAGCACCCTAAATATTCAGAGGAAGTGAAAGACCCATGTTCCCACTCCCACACACACCCACTGCATGCAAACATACTGTCTCCTGGACAAACAGGTTGACTTGCCACCTGGACGGTGTTTCCTCCAATACCCTGCTACTTTGCTGGTCTCCAAACAGGTCCAGCCAGAAACCATGCCCTCGTTCCTTCCTTCCTTCCTTTTTTTAAAAAAAAATTCATTTCCTACTCTTGTGGTCAGCATTTTTCTCCATGTTTGGGGTTGGACGACACAAATTTTATGAGATCACTTGTCAAGTAGTTTATAATCTAGCAATTTGAGGAGCGTCATGGATACAAAAACAGTAATTGAATCCACAGCACACATTCACATCCGTGCAAGCACGTGCCACCACACAGAGGAGTCTCAGTGTCCCGACCCTGACACTGAGGCTCAGGGAAGGAGACTTGCAAAGCCACAGGAACTTAGTGAGTCAGCAAGATGAACGCGGGCCCGGGGTAAGTGACCACAGGCAGTAACTCAAAGCACAACTCAACTTTGCTCGCTCTGGCGCTCTGTCTCCTCTCAACCTCTTCACCGCTTTCAGACCCTTCCTGCATGTCATTCTCTTAGCTTTCTGTCAAAGGGGAGGCGGCCGTGTTCACGTTTCAGAGAATGTCAGGCACTGAGCCAGCTTATCATCTGCATGGCTCTCAGCAAACACCCTTTTCATTGTGCGAGCAGGGAAAAAGGAAGTCCATGCTAAGAAAAAAGATCTTAGCTGGTAATCAAAACTTGTCTCCACAGGGTTCATGCTAGAAAAAATGTCAAGAACATGCAAAAGCATCTCCACGTCACTACTTAAATTTCAGAAGAAAGTAATGTTTTGTAATTTCACTTAGGACGTGTGGACAGGTTCTGGTGATTTTCTTTTACCAAGGACAATTGCACTTTACAATGCCTCCGGATTTAGTTTTTGCAGGCACCCTGTGTAAATATTCCTGGGTTGCTCCTGCATGGTAAGACTCAGGCGATCTGTGTTTAATGTCCAATAGGACCCGGATGTTTGCAGAGCTGGGCACCACATAAGGAAGGAAGAATAAGGAAGGAGAAAGGGTCTGCTTGCCAGGCAGGGTGTTGGTTTTTATTTTCAGTGTCAACAGAGCTGGGCCTGGTACAAAGGCGAACTATTTTCCTCTGTTCTCTTTATTTAAAGTTTGCTGAGTTTATTGTGGATTTGATTTTTCTTGCACAAAGAGGGAACCCGCAGTCTTCCTTCCTCCCTCCCATTTTCTTCACCTCCTGACTCACTAGCTCTGCTGCTGTGTGACCCAGTGGAAGGCTCCGGGGAACTCTTGCCTGCTGAGAGCAGAGGCAGCCGCTCCTGGGAGGAAGAAGGGGGCTCTGTGGCTCATGCCTACCCTTCCCTCTCGGGGTCAAAGGTGCTGCTCTCACAGACGCTGTCTCCAGTTTCCAGAGCTCCTTGGGTGGCATTTGCTCATCTCCTTCATCTCTACTTCCCAGCTTTCCTCACGTTCTCTCTCCCACCCTCAACTTCTACCACTTTAACTCCGTGGAGCTTAATTTAGATGAGCTTTTCAAAGAGCATTATTAAGCAGTTACATTCATGAACATTCTATATGACCTGCTAAATTCAAATTCACTTTGTTCCACATTTTTGCATTTCTTTCCCCACTTAATGATCTGCATTTCTTCCTAATGTTATTTTCCCCACCATGCCAGTAGGGAGCTTCACAGGCTTCCAGGTTCTCCCCCATAGCACAAATTGCCATGAAAACTTAAAAAATGAGAATAAAAGGGTCCTCCCTGATATTGCAAGGGGTTAAAGCACAACAATATGGAACTGTCTGCAGCACAAGTTCGGTCCCCAGCCAGGGAGGTGACCCGCATGGCGCAGAGACCTCTCCTGACCCGCCCGCTGCTCCCCTCAGCAGTGTACTTTGTCGATCTGCCTCTTCTGCTCCCCGCTCTGTCTCTGGTGAAGACTCTGACCCCCTGCACCTCTGGCCTATACCACCGTTGTTGTGTGCATAAATAAATCTTTTTTAAAAACGAGGAAAGAAGTAGAACATGTTTCTATTCTCATCGCTTTACCAGCTTGTGCACTTCAGCTCAGAAGCAAAAGTGACGATTTTCTGAACATTTGTCTGAACCTTCTATGCTGAGCCATAAGGTGATCATGTTTTTCCAAATCTCAAATTGAAACACATGTTCTGACGAATGTAAGGAGACTCCCGGGGTCAACCAGGCAAGATGCGAATGCAGTCCTTCCTTCCCTAAAACACCCAGAACGTGGTTTCTGTTACATGCCCTTCCAGGAGTTGGAGCCGTGTCTGAGACACTTTATCAGGGGATGGACAGATTAATCTCCTGGGCTGCTCCCAGTTGTAAAATGGAATGAACAGTTAATCCAAAGTTCACTCAACAGTCACAGATGACAGGACACCGAAGCAGGACTGCCAAAAACCTCCAGCAGAACAACACCTTGACTGTTTCTCGTGAAAGACTGAGTTCCACTCGTCCTTGTTTGGGGAAGCCAGCATGACCTGAGGTGAAGCTTCTGAGAGCCCAAAGCCTTCAGCCTTCGCCAGAACATGGGTTTTTCACGTCTGACCTTGGGGTTACATAATTGCTATCTTTATGTTTCTGTTCAGCTCTGTTGGATTAGTAAATGTCTTTACTGATGCTTTTCCTGGTTGGAATTAAGTCAGTCACTGTTCTTTGAATATGGTCTCTTGTTCTGTGATAGCCCGTGTGCCTCTATGCTTATCTTACTCAAGATAAGAGATGACAGTAACAGAACTGAATACAGGTTTTTCTTTGCAATGGACTTCTGATACTTTCGCCTTTTTTTGTGTGTGTGTGGTCCTTTTTAATGAGGCTTTAAACTAAATTGTTCTTTTTTTCAGTCCTGAGGGAAGCCTCAGCATAACCTCTGGCTGTTCACCTGTAACACAGCACACCAAACCTCCCCACCACCCCCCAACTTGCCTAATTGCATTTTCTCTCTATTTTTTTTTTTTTTTTTTTTTTGCCAAAGAAAATTGGAAATCCTTGAGCAGAAAATAGAAACATTAAGGTGCGGGTGCAGAACTGCCCTTGCAAGCAATCAGGTCAAGCTCCCTGCAAAGTTGTTGGCCAGTCACCATGGAAGCCGAGGGTGGGACTTTGCAGGTAACTCCTTGAGAGGGACTCAGTCCAAGCAGACCTGTGATTTCACACCTCTGTGTCCATTTGCAGGTCAGCACTAAAGTTTATTGACTTCATCCTTCTATAGTACCTGAACTTGGAAAGCACAAGTTCATTCTAGAAAACATTTCACACTGTGTTTAGGGTAATATAAGAACCAAACACCAAAGACAACAGGATGGGCTGTGACCCACGTAGAGAAAGGTGACCGAGAGGACACTCTCAGTGAGACGAGGCAGCCAGTGCCGGGGAAAGCACTGGGGTTTTATCCCGTAGGTAACTATGTCTGTTCCAGTCACGCCATTTGTGTGTGACCGTGGACAGCCATGCAAGTCTTGGAGCCCAGCGTCGTTGTCTGTAAACTATAACATCTGCCTCACAAGTTCAGATATGTGAACTTGCTGGCAGTGTCCTTTAGAAAGAAACTAAGCCACAGACATACCTGTCCCTTAATTTATCTTCATTTAGGGAGTGTCCCCACAGTAAAAGTCTCAGTGTTCTAACATATGATCTGAGACCAGATAGTCAAGACCAAAGTTCATTTCCTGAAATCCTGGCAAGACCAAACTGGTAACTACTAGCCTTTGTCTCAGTCAGGTATCTGGTCGATACACCAGTCACTTCGGTTTTTAGCAGAAGGCTTTACGGGACAAACATCGCCCACAGTTCTGGAACGAATTCCTCTCTAGAATTATGGTCAGAGTTTGCATCTGATCTATGTCTCTACGCCTTTTGCCTAAAACAAAGTAATATTCAGCAAGTATGTATTGAGTGCCTTTTATTTTCTGGTGGCCTTCAGATACAGTCTGCAAAGGTAACCTAAGACATATCCCTGATCCAAGTGGAGGAGAACAATAGATAAACAAAACATGTTGCAAGTGAAAAAAGTAAATGAGATTGTAAAGGATAGAACAGAATGAATTAGGACATTTCAGGCCCAGGAAGAATAAGTGAAATAATTTGTATATGTTTGCATTGAAAGTATTCACTAACATTTATTCAAGAAAAACATAGTGGGTCTCTACTCCTTACCAGGCACTTGTTGAAGCAGTTGGGAAATGTCAAGAAACTTAGTAAGACACAAGTCTCTACCCTTGTGGTAGAGGTAGGACTGGGGCTGGGCACAGAGAGGACACAGACAAGAAGGGGTGGGCTTGAAGGTAAAGCATTTAGTCAGTGTGCAGACTTAAATAGGACAGTGCCTCACGGAGAATACCTGTGGTTGCCTTGAAGAAGATAAGGGGTTGAAATGCAACTATGTGCAGAGGAGGGAGGGAGGAGCCGATCAAAGCCCTAAGCAGAGACACACTGTGTGGTTAGAGCAGCAGCAAGAAAGCCAGAGGGAGAACAGGAGAAGATACAAGAAGCAGTGGAGTCTTCTGGCATGGCCAGAGCAAGCGGGGGGTGG